ACGTGAATGAGCCCCTAACCATACTGAAAAGCCATACAGACCCTTCATGAAGGAAAGAGGAAAGGTCTTTGGGAAAATGGGGGTATGTCTTTTTCATGTTTTATTATGGGCTTCATGTACAAAACCTCCAATGGTGGGAATGTCATTTGCATGATTAGCACCCCTAGATGGCGCTAATGAGTATAGGAATGTCATCAGCACCCTCTAGGGCAGTGGTCGCCAACCTTTCGGACCTCATGGACCACTAAATTCATAATTTTAAATCCTGCGGACCACTAATATGAATTTAAAATATATATATTTTTTTTTCGCCCGGGTCATATGCCCCCCCTAGCTTCAGCACTGCCCCCAACCACCCCCGTGCATCCCCTTCTCCCACACTGAGCCACTATTGCCTGGCTTCTCCCCACTTTTTCTATGTCCCACAACCTGCGCAGTCCGGGTACTGACGAGATGCCCCGCCTCCTGCAGAGCCCGCAATGTACTGAGAGCCGCGCATTCCTTGTGACAGCCGCTGCTTGAGTCAGTGAAAGGCAGCCCCGGAGCCTCCGTGCCGCTTCAATGACGGCCCAGCCTACACGGCATCAGAGGGGTCTGGGGACCACCAAAATTTTTTCGCGGACCACAAGTTGGCGACCGCTGTTCTAGGGGGTGCTAGTGGCATGCGGACGTTTTTTACACGAAGTCCTATGTGTACTAAAAATATTGTTTTGATTTTTTGAAGAATCGGGCCGGTAGGGATAAGTTAACCGGTAATCAGTGTTTTGATTGGATGCGTGCCACAATGTAGCAATTGGTAAAGGTGTAAGCGAGTATGTTGTATAAATATTAATTTCATCATGCTCACGTTTTCGGCTCGCGTTGTTGTGAGATGGCCGATCTGCACACGCTGCCAGCGTTACACTTACAGCTAAGAACAGCTTAAAAATGACATCTATGATGCAGTCTGCCAATAGCACTATCGGAGCAGTTTTTGTTTTTTGGAGTCCCCCGTAACATAGATTTATTACCTGTTGATCCTGCCAGTAGATCCCTTAATTTTCACCCTTAAGTCCAAAAGGCTGAAACGCGTCAGCGGTGGGTGGTTTGGAGGCAGGGTACGGAATACTGCACATTATGGGAACTTAATAAAGTTTTATCTACAATGATATCAGGGGGTGCTCGGCTTTTCCTTGAGTGTTACTGCGACATATGGCTTGTGGACCGGCTCCTTGTTGGCCCAGCAGATGGGGAGGGCTATGAGGGTTTGGAGCGATCATAACCCACATATATTTGTTACTGTGCATTATACGCGTCACATGCATTAGTAACACACTTCAGGGTGACAACTAGGGTTGCCACCTTTTCTTCAAGTGAAGCCCAAACACTCTAGCGCTGCATGCAGCAATTTTCAGGTGGGCTATGCGGGCTCTCAGGTGGCTGTGTAGGGTCTCAGGTGGTCTCTGCAGGCTTTCAGGAGTGCTGTGCGGGCTGTGTGGTGTCTCACTAGGGGTCCAGAGGCGGGCAGCATGTTGTCAGGAAGACAGAGATGTTTACAGGCACCTGCGGCTCGCACGAAGGCTGCTGAGGTCCCCAGCAAGCACGGGACCTCAGGCAGCTGCATCTGGCAAAAAATTGAAAGTGCCCGGCACTTAGTGTCTTGTGTCCGGGTGTCAGCTGGCCTGAAATTTGGACACAGGACTCAAAAACTGGACTGTCCTGGTGAATCCCGGACAGGTGACAACACTCACTCATTGTACTGTATAACCATGGCTTATTTTTTTATATAAAATAGAGTTCTGCTTTAACATGAATGAGCGCACTAAAATGCCACAACTTCTACATGTACGTCCCCATGTACGTCCCCTCGGCCTGGAGATGTGCTGACATTTAAAGTTCATGTAGAAGCTTCTTTTATAGAAGGTACGTCCAGTGTTTGTTTCTCATTGCTCGCTCAGCACTCACATAAATATCTCCTTTGTGGTGTTTCATTGGGAAAGTAAAGACTTTTTTTTAAAGAATGAAGCACAGAAGAGCTTTCTCAAAACAGAAGACATTTGCATACCCGAGTCCATCACAAAAGGAATTGGGATCCTTCCTCATTTCAGAATAATGGGTGAAGACATGCAAATCCTTTCTTTATGCTCCCGGGCCAACTGTACATCCAACACCGCGGGCGTACAGCCCAGATACAGCCTTATATTATAGATCTGTTGCAGGCGTGTTGGCTATCATCAGTGCAGTGCATGAAAACCATGGCTTGTATAGAGTAGGGCTTGGGGAGCAACAAGGAGGTATAACCTAAGAGGTTAAAGCAAAGGTAGGCAAACCTAAGACTGAAAACAGGAGACTTTCCATAAAGCAAACTTGGCATAGCTCAACAGACACCACTCCGGGATGTACAGAAGACCTCCGTGGGGAGCATTTACAAATCTCTAATATAATACTAAAAACATGGAAGAGTAAGAAAGTCATAGTCATATCATTTACATCATTGTGAGGGGTATCACATAGTAATTACATAGTAATTACATAGTAATTACATAGTATTTGAGGTTGAATAAAGACATTAGTCCATCAAGTCCAACCTATTAGGATCTCATTCTAGGAGTACCCGTACCCCTGTATCATGTCTACTCATAGAGGCCCAAATGTGCTCCCTCCATGAGCTATAAACTACCTCACAGTATAGGTTGCAGGCCCTGTCCTTTTTGCTCCTGATGAAGCTTCTGGTGTGCTTACCCCTTGACTTGGATCTGGTGGGAGCGTACATGTGTACAGCAGGTATGCAGTCCCAGGAACTCAGGGTGGGGATGGTAGGAGCCCCTCATAATGGGCACAGCAGGTGTGCAGACTCAGAAACTCAGCACAGGGATGGTGGGAACAGACCCAGGAACTCAGCACAGGGATGGTGGGAACAGACCCGGGAACTAAGCCCAGGGATGGTGGGAACAGACCCGGGAACTAAGCCCAGGGATGGTGGGAACAGACCCGGGAACTAAGCCCAGGGATGGTGGGAACAGACCCGGGAACTAAGCCCAGGGATGGTGGGAACAGACCCGGGAACTAAGCCCAGGGATGGTGGGAACAGACCCGGGAACTAAGCCCAGGGATGGTGGGAACAGACCCGGGAACTAAGCCCAGGGATGGTGGGAACAGACCCGGGAACTAAGCCCAGGGATGGTGGGAACAGACCCGGGAACTAAGCCCAGGGATGGTGGGAACAGACCCGGGAACTAAGCCCAGGGATGGTGGGAACAGACCCGGGAACTAAGCCCAGGGATGGTGGGAACAGACCCGGGAACTAAGCCCAGGGATGGTGGGAACAGACCCGGGAACTAAGCCCAGGGATGGTGGGAACAGACCCGGGAACTAAGCCCAGGGATGGTGGGAACAGACCCGGGAACTAAGCCCAGGGATGGTGGGAACAGACCCGGGAACTAAGCCCAGGGATGGTGGGAACAGACCCGGGAACTAAGCCCAGGGATGGTGGGAACAGACCCGGGAACTAAGCCCAGGGATGGTGGGAACAGACCCGGGAACTAAGCCCAGGGATGGTGGGAACAGACCCGGGAACTAAGCCCAGGGATGGTGGGAACAGACCCGGGAACTAAGCCCAGGGATGGTGGGAACAGACCCGGGAACTAAGCCCAGGGATGGTGGGAACAGACCCGGGAACTAAGCCCAGGGATGGTGGGAACAGACCCGGGAACTAAGCCCAGGGATGGTGGGAACAGACCCGGGAACTAAGCCCAGGGATGGTGGGAACAGACCCGGGAACTAAGCCCAGGGATGGTGGGAACAGACCCGGGAACTAAGCCCAGGGATGGTGGGAACAGACCGGGGAACTCAGCACAGGGATGGTGGGAAGAGACCCCGGAACTCAGCACAGAGATGGTGGGAACAGACCCAGGAACTCAGCACAGGGATGGTGGGAACAGACCCAGGAACTCAGCACAGGGATGGTGGGAACAGACCCAGGAACTCAGCACAGGGATGGTGGGAACAGACCCGGGAACTCAGCACAGGGGAGCCCCTCATAATGGGCACAGCAGATGTGCAAACCCGGGAACTCAACAAAGAGAAGGTGGGAGCCCCTCATAATGGGCACAGCAGATGTGCAAACCCAGGAACTCAGCAAAGGGAAGGCGGGAGCCCCTCATAATGGGAACAGTAGATGTGCAGACTCGGGAACTCAGGGCAGAGATCTCCCACATACAGTCCCTAACAGAGAACAAATTGTGATGTGGTTTACATCTCCAGCAATTAATAAATTAAATATCCTTTTGCATGGACTGACTCCTTAAAACTTAATTTGCCCATTAGTAAACCAACTTTGTGGTTCAAATGGGCCAACTTGGTGAAAGCCTTTGGTGGTTTGGCACACAAATATGGTAAAGAAAGCAGACATGGCAGTAATGATAGCGTAATCAAGATACTCAAGGTTTCACACAGCATCACCTCCCTGGTTAACAAGACTCTGTTGCTTTGCCTATTCATGGCAAGGTTACAGGTTATAGCCTCCCACCTGCCGAAACTCCTCTTTGCTCTACTCCCCCCTCTGCTCCATTCTTCCATCAAAGTCTTCTGGATATATCCAGTACTTATGGGTATGGAGGAGGATCAGGTGTCCTCCTCTCCTTCTTCCCAAGATGCAGTCCTTGGGACTGAATGGCCCACACATCGGGGCCAAGTTTTGCCCCTTGAGGGAAGGGAAAAGTCATTCATTCTGTGTAAGCTCAAACACCTCCTGACACGGGACTTACAAAGGGGTTGGTGTCCAAGCTGCAACCAAGGAAGATGGAAGAATCACCTTCAAGGAATTCCAAGGAATTTTATTGCAAGAGAACCTGTCATATAAGTTTAGCTCTCAGAACGGAAACATTTATCTTGAGGAACACAAGCTACTCCGGACTATTTCTTCTTGACCACTTAGAACCTTCCAGGCTGCCCATTCATTAATGCTCTTCCTGTCAAATCCTTATTAACTACAAATCTCGCTATGGAATGAGAGGACTCACCGCTCGTTGGTGGGGTCGGCGCAGTTCAGCGGGTATTTCAGCGGGATGGAGGTTCCGTCAGTATCCTGTAGACACTCGTGCTGTCCTGTGTAATATTCCACCAGCTCAGACAACGTGGCGAACTGTTCACCGCCATACAAGTCGTAGTAATCGCCGGTGTTCTGTATGCGGATGTGTGTGACCGAGTCTTCCAATCTGGGGGGGGCAAACAAATCAGTTATTGTTAGTACAAATTATATACATTGGTATTTATTATTGTGTTCTCTTACTACCCCAACGTATCTATCTATCTATCTCTATCCATCCATCCATCGTCACATCCTAAGTAGTCCCCTGCCAGCATCTATACTTTGCTCTCTGCAGGGAATCAGTAGTCTCTCTGCAGAGATCTGGCGGGCCTCCCAATTGAGTCACACCTATAGCCCACTGATTGGACAGCCCTAACTCAGCAGGGGGTGTGTCAGACCTCTGCAGAGAGACCACAGCTTCAACACATGGAGCAACGGTCCTTCTCCACAGCATGTCGGCAGGGGATCATACTTTTCAACTCTGTGGCGGATTTTTAAAGCAAACACAGACTTCTGTTGTGATGTATTTATGAAATCGAGCTTCTAAGGCCTCGTTCACACCAGACACGGTGCGTTCCGGCCCGATTCTGGCCAGAACGCACTGCCTCGCATTGCGGACGGCTCACTATGTTGTGGGGCAGGAGGGGGCGTGGCGGTCCATTGTAGTGAATGGCACCGTGGCTCCCGCCGCACGGGATCGCAAGGCACATTATGCTTGCGGTCCGGTCTACTGCGAACAAAATAGTGCTTGCAGCATGGTGGTGGGCTTTATGTACTCCATGTACGGTAGGAAGGGCCCTAATCTCGTGACTGATGTGACAGCCAATCACAGGAACACCCATAGTAACATACATCCCATCACAAACAAGACCGGAATCCCAATGTATTCAGAAGGGTGCTGGAGTCACCTGCAGATGTCGCCGCGTGGGTCCAAAGTGCTTGCAGCATTTTCTTCAGACCGGACCGCAGGCATAATGTGCCTTGCGTTCCTGTCCGGTCAACCACATTGTGGCCCGGAGGGCGTGGCTACGGTGCTATTCACTTCAATGGACCGCCCCTCCTGCCCCACAACGTAGTGAGCCGGCCGCAATGCGATGCAGTGCGTTGTGACCAGAATCGGGCCGGAACGCACTGCGTCTGGTGTGAACGAGGCCTAACTCTTCACAATTCAATACACATTCGAAAAACAAACTAAAAACCACATTTTTCACAACTCACGAGCACCGCTGACCAATCAAAGGACCCGAAGAAAAGTTATCACTGCAAATACCATGTCTGGATCCTTCATCGTAAATGTGTCAGAGTTTCGGGTTTATTGCTCCCTCACAACTGATATTCTTTCCGTTGTATACGGATCCCGGAATCGGTCCGGACACTAAAATAGCATTATATCCGATATCTTTATTTTAGCAGGAGTGTCTATTTATAATCTCTCCATCTGGAGCCGTGCAAGAAAATATTTTTATCACTTCCGAAAAACACATGGAAGGTGTTACCGACACAGATAAATATTGATGTCGAAGTCCCCACGGGATGACAGAACGCTTCACGCCGTGTTAACATGACGCGTGTGTGCGATTGTGAACTTGTATGTATTAATTGTTCTTACTAAAAATAGATCCAACGGAAAACTTGTAAATAACATTGAGGTTCGGAGAAAGAGCTGACAGATAGGCCTCTAAATGACACGACAGATCCCCGGAGGCTTCTGAATGTAAACAAGCTGGTGGGGATCCTGCGTGACATCATTGACCAAATATGGTCATGACCATATATGGTCAATATTGAATATTCTTACAAAAACTAATCAAGCGGAAAACTTGTAAATAACACAACGAGGTTTACAGATTGGCCTCTGAATGACATGACAGACCCCCGGAGGCTTCTGAATGTAAACAAGCCAGCGGGGATCCTGGGTGACATCATTAACAAAGCATGGACATGACATCACCCAGGAGAAAAATAAATCTATTTCTATTTTGACTAAATATGGTCATGATCGTATTTGCTCAATATTGATCATTCTTACTAAAAACGAATTAAATAGAAAACTTGTAAATAGCACATGGAGGTTCGGCAAGCGGGGGAACAGACTGGCCTTTAAAGGAGAACTATGGGGTCAGTGTTTTTCCCCATAGTTCTCCTTAGGGTAACGGGAGGACACAAACTAGCGTCCTCCCGTCACCCTAAGCTCAGTATACCGCGAGCTACAGCTCGCAGTATACTGAGACGCCGCAGCCAGAGCGGATCCCGACTTAGACGACGGGATCCGCCCAGCTGCGTGATTGACAGCTGGCTCTGCCTATCTAGAGGCAGAGCCAGCTGTACCTGCCCCCTCCCCCGTCCGTTCCGCCAGTCAGCGCTGGAGGAGCGGGGAGGGGGGAATCCAGCCCTGTCACGGCAGAGAGCCGTGACAGGATCGAGAGGTGAGCGAACCTGGTATGTGTTCGCTGACTTCCCGATCTACTGAGCCGACCTGTGACAGTCTCATTGTCACAGGTCGGCTAGAACTATGAGGTGAGTGAAAAGCACTCACCTCATAGTTCTCCTTTAAATGACACAACAGATCCACGGAGGCTTCTGAATGTAAACAAACCAGTGGGGATCCTGGGTGATACCACTGACCAAATATGGTCATGACTATATATGGTCAATATTGATTATTCTTACAAAAACAAATCGAGCGGAAAACTTGTAAATAACACATGGAGGTTTGGCTAACGGGAGAAAAGAAATACTTCTCCCCTATGCTCCTCAGCTCCACCTAGTGGCCATAATAGAAATAAATACTTATCCCCTATGTTCATCAGCTCCACCTAGTGGCCATAATAGAAATAAATACTTATACCCTATGCTCCTCAGCTCCACCTAGTGGCCGTAATAGAAATAAATACTTATCCCCTATGCTCCTCAGCTCCATCTAGTGGCCATAATTGAAACAAATACGTATCCCCTATGCTCCTCAGCACCATCTAGTGGCCAGAATAGAAATAAATACTCATCCCCTATGCTCCTCAGCTCCATCTAGTGGCCATAATGCGGTATTACACGACATTGCATTCAACCGGAAAATAAAATATAGAATGAACGTTCGTTTTTACCTCTATGTGGACATAATGAATGATCACAGAGACTCACATGGGCGAATGGCTCTGCGAATTGTTCATAAATAGACCCCTAATTGTAGCTTGAATGCAAGCAGATCTCTTGCAATACCCATGTACAGCAGTACTGAAGCCAAGCCAGCCTTCTACTGTTAAGTACAAGCACAGGTGTTGATGGTTTCACTCGTCAGCATATACCAAACACTGAAATATCACTTTTGGCTGGACTGGCCCTTTAATTGCAAAACCTGCAATAGGTCACGTGAAAATAGCGGGATTTCTTGGTTGTGAATGAGCAATATCCTCCCAGGTTGCCCCTATCTCAGCCCTGTAGTGGACCAATACTGAAATTCAGCATTGCCTAACAGGTTGCCTCACACACTCACTAAAAGAAAAGTGAACAAAAGCGAAGTGATTGAGCCATGACAGGACGGGCCAACGACGGACTCGCCACCCACCCTACCTTCTATGTGTCACCCACCCTATCCTCTATGTGCCAACCACCCTACCCTCTATGTGGTTAGAATTTCAGCGAATTTCCAGGAATCGAATAATATTCTAACAGTGTATGGCCAGCTTAATGTTTTAACTTAATAATCGCATAACTAATCGATTTTGAAAATAATCGTTAGCTGCAGCTCTACCTGGAACCTCACCCCCCCGGCTCCATTATGCTATCTGGTCTACTTCATGGGCCTTTTCCTTCCAATCTCAACTCCCTTTTCCCTCTCCTCTTTTGTGACCCCCACATGGTGCCCAACCCCAACCTCTTCCCTATTCACTCCAAACCCCTCCTCCTTATCCCCCCTGCCTTCTCCATTCCCCTACCTGCCTTTTTTTTTATTTCCGGTTTCTCGGTTGGTATGAATATCATCCTTTCATTCCCGTCTTTCATTCCTTGGGAAACTCCACTGCCCACCCTACCCTCCATATACCCCCCACCCCCTACCGCCCACCCTACCTAAATACTTCTCCCCTATGCTCCTCAGCACCATCTAGTGGCCATAATAGAAACAAATACTTATCCACTATGCTCCTTAGCTCCCCCTAGTGGCCATATTAGAAATAAATACTTATCCCCTATGCTCCTCAGCTCCACCTAGTGGCCAGCATCCTGTCTCATTACATTGTCTACACTTACAATAAATGTGATAGAGGCCAGAAACCAACTATACTCTATATAACTATGTATGATTTAAAGCTGAACCCCGGGACACACATAGATTGTCCTCATCCAAGAGTCATGTGTATTTTTCTTGGTGAGCTTTGTGTATTTTTTCCAGATCTCTGCAGTAATCCAGTGTGGGACTTGGATCGTCCTGTAATAAAGAGCGGTCACTGCTGTTCTTTCTGGTTGTGCAGGGTGACTGGTCATGTCTCTGCCCCCTCCTGTAATAAAGACCGGTCACTGCTGTTCTTTCTGGTTGTGCAGGGTGACTGGTCTTGTCTCCGCCCCTCCTATAATAAAGACCCGTCACTGCTGTTCTCTCTCCTTGTACAGGGTGACCTGTCTTGTCTCTGCCCCCTCCTTTAATAAAGACCGGTCACTGCTGTTCTCTCTTATTGAGCAGGGTGACTGGTTTTGTCTCCATTCTCCTCCTGTAATAAAGACCGGTCACTGCTGCTCTCTCTCCTGCGGCAGATACGCCCCTGAGGGTGACTGGTCCTGTCACCGCCCCCTCCTGTTGTTGCCTGTAGTGGGTGGAGCCTGCTGGGTCTCTCCCACATCTCTGCTCTCTGCACAGGCCATGTACAGCACAGTGATGATGTCACTACTACTTTGACAAGGTATTATCTGGGTTTGCAGAGGCATTTGGTGCCCACAAAGTGGGTTTATATCCTTTGCGGCTATTGAGGAATGTGACTCAATGAATGCCCGGGGTTAAGCGCTGAGATCTCAGTGAGCGAAATTGGATGACTCTCCTTGTTAACCTGTTATAAAATAATGATGCTGTCAGAGTAAAGAGCTGGATGTTCAAATTAAAGGCTAATTCAACATTTAATACCATTTTTCATGTTACAGCCATAATTAGCAAACTAAACATGAGATTGTAGTCCATCACGGGAGTGAGCTTGGAGGAGTGACTACTCTACAGCACACACAGGGACCATGGGGAACAATAGTAGCCCCCCTCCAGAAGGAAGGACAGTGTCAGCACCAATTCAGAGATGATTTGAGGATCAACAGACGAGTGATACACAAATAAGATACATTTCTGTTAATAGTTAAGGGACTTGAATGTATTTTTAAGATTTAACTCTGGAGTTTAGTGTCACTTTACATCTTTACAATTTAACGATAGCCATGTGCACCTAATTCGGTTTTGTTCTTAAAGGAGAACTATGGGGT